TACTTGTTTATCACGCGCATTATTAAATTTCGTATAAATCCGTTACAACGCTTAAATTACTAACGCACCACAGCCTTTATTAATCTTTCAGTTTAATCGCGTTAAATTGGAGAAGAGAGATGGACATATCAGACATGAAGCATCAGTTGTAACGTGTGTTAAAGTAGAAAGATATTCGAACAAGGATAATATTATCACTTCACTTGAATTGTCCATTTTATTATATCACATGCTTCAACGCGTTACGTGTATATGCATAAAGTTCCATAACCGCTCACCGGTTGTCATTATCATCATCGCATCCTCATGTTATTCTCATTTCAAGAAAATCCTAGACACATGATAATGACCACAGCGTGTTCACTGACCATGACTGCTGAGGAGAAACCGCGGCCAAAGCCCGGTGTGTAAACCCACCGCCTCCATGGGAAAACTAGGAGCGTCGAACAGCCCAACTCAGCTGTGCTAAGGTTAGCGCGGGTGTATTCCGGGGTTGTGTCTGGGCGACCAGTTATAAGATCGACTGCTTTGGTGGATTCCTCGGTACCGCCCCCACTGAAATTGGGACTTCTCACGAAGATAAATGAGGGACACAATCATCGCCCTGATGACGGAGGCAGTATGACCTCTGAAACTTTGGTGGAAATATACCGGACTACACGGTACAATTACCCAGAAGACAGTAACCTTAAATCCTACAAAAGTATATCTGTTTCTATTAAAGCTCACAGCTTCACATGTGAGGGTATCAGAATTTCAGAGGACAAAAGTTTCAAGTATGCTATATATCAGTTGAATCCAATTTCAGGAATAAATAAGCATGCAAAATATTGAACTCTCATACCTGTTGTGTCTGTCCACACACGGAAGTACTCCTGTAAATGAGCGACGTGTATAAAAACGGCAGTCTTCTGAGATAATGCACTGTGTATAAATTGACAGACATTAATACTTCTTACGTGAATTAGATATTTCATTTTCTAGATGGCCATATTTTCTAAAGTAATCCACTAATGGTATTTTAAAATCCGTCAAATGATTCACTGTAAATGGCCATAGCGGGCACAAGTCTATAGCATGCCATGCATAAATCAAGATTTTTGAAGCACATAGCTGGAAGCTAACACTGTCACTAATGATTTTGCTGTTCGCACCACAAAACACTAATAAAGATACAGACATTTACCCGCACAGGAGCAATGAATGTGCTCGTCTGAGTGTTCAGAATGTCAACCTTATGAAAATGTCACCGAATCTGCTGAAATTAACATCGGAAGTGACCAATATTCGACGATTTGATCGAGGAGGGAGCAGGATTCCAACTCATTTTATGTCAGTGATTAACGTATGTCTAGGTGTAGCAAAGAGTGTTGGCTGGCTGGAGCTGATCGGTTGTGTTCTAGTGTGTAGAGCCTATGTTGGTATTACCTGTGCCCGCAAAACATTTTGGCCAATAAAATTGTCAAGCAGAAAGCTAGGAGCGTAATTTGTCCGATTTCATAATAATGTTTCATCGTCAATAACCAGGAAGTACAGTTCATGCACACTAAAACTCGACGTGATGTATAATTTCGTAGTAAGTGGTTATAATCTTTACAAGCAATTTTTAAAACAAAGAAATTCTGAGTTTGATTATAGGAAATAAAGATAACTTTTGCGGCCTCCCCCATGGAGAACGATGACTATCATACATATTTCTTCGCGCTTTTCGATAAGGGCCATCCTGTTGTTTCTCGTCTTTTCCACAGAAAATCAAATTCCTTCACAACGTGTTTTAAGCTAGTGCTACCACCTTTGAAATGAATCCAATTCCTCAGTTTCGGAAGTAGTTTAGAAATCGCAGAAGATGCTTTTTCTTTCATACAAAATTCATGAATTGTGTGCCGAATGACACACTTATCGAAAACGTGCGTCACACATTTCGGCACTTTGTACGTGGTACTTAGTATATCTTGTCCGGAAAACTGAAATAAGTCCTTTGTGCTCATTAAATTTAACCCAAATTAACAATCACACTTCTGTGGGCTACAGAGATTTTATTAGCATTTATGATTATAACAATTTATCAATCAATATTTTTTGTTTCACAAGTACATTTCCTTGGCAAAACTTGTTAGCAAATAACGCAATGATATGTACACATAAGGCAAAAACTTGTGTCCAGCAAAAGCCATAGGTCATGCATATAACAAAGTATTTTTTTAATGGGCCCTCTTGGTTATAAGATAAAAGTTTAAGTTCACAAGCCATTACTAACATGCTCCTGGCAGTGCTATGTACAACACCATAGTGTAAAACACTACACTTGTCCCTGTGCTTAATTAAGCACATGCCATGAAGATGTATGGGGCAGAAAAGGTATAGCTCCACACATTAACCTCAACATTAGAATCAGATTGCTTTTCAGATTTAGGCATGCGTGAAATTTCAAGCGGCAATTTACGTACAATATTATATTTCATCGGAAGTGGGGGATGTGGTGGTGGGAGGGAGATTAATGACTACCAACAACCCCAAAACTTTGAGATTATGTCTTACAACGTTCAGATGTTTAAATGGCCAAGTTAGTGCTAATTCTGAAAAAAAAAAAATTAAGATGACAAAATTTAAATGAATTTAACTCAATATAAATTGATAAAATTGACGCACATAATAATATTAAATCACTTTATCAGTATGAGGTAACTTTTGTAAGAACAGCGTTGAGCTTCACATAAACACTTATTTTAACATGAAATAACTCTGCATTTTGCCTACAGGATGTATTTCCATCTTTTGTATGATTCTCGGCATAAACAGTGATTATTTCACTAAACAGCATTAACCATTTGATCTTTGTAATCGTATGACTGTCTATGGTTATTACTGAATGTTGTGGCCAAGTGGTTAGCACTCCTACTTTGTACTGAGGTTTTTCATGATTTTCTTCAGTCCCTACAGACAAATGGTGGGCTAGTACCTTAAATTAGGTCATTTTATATTCTTTTAATATTATGTATGTAATTTTAAACTTTACGGTTTAAACAGGTCAGCACATTTGGTAAAGTTTAACAAGAAACTGCTTGTGGAGTGGAGGGGGTGAGAAGCAGACAGCGATATGCTACTATTTGTCCAGAAAACACCAGAGTCCAACACATCTTTTGAATAAATATTTTACAGCTGTCTTATTTGAGTCAACTAGTCGTAAAATAAATATGTAGTAGGTATGCACATGCTGGCTCGGTTCTCCAACAGTCAGCTACTGTATTGGTTTTATAAGAATGAACTATTATAACGCTAGCACAATACAATTTATTGCAACATTATCTTTGTAAACTGCATTGAAAGTATAAATATATAAAATTTCTTTCTTTAAAAAGAATGGGGGGGGGGGGGTGAAAACATGTGTAGTGTGTAGTATAAGCAATGATAATATGAATTAATAAACTTCTGAGATATTATGTTGGAGTATGTTTTATGTTACCCAGTGTCTGAATGTGTATTTTTCACTGATGTCTGAATGGTTAAGAAGATTTTATTCATATTTAGTATTTACGAGTGTTCATCATACACAAGCAACATACAAGGAACCTACAACAAGATGTAAGACATTTATATAAAATATGTCTGTAACCATTTAAATGGCATTTATTTAGAGTATTCATGCCTAAATAATACTTCACAGGTCACAAAAAATAAGAGTAATACATCTATGAGATTCTCTTGTTAAGAAATGTATGGACATAAAGACGTTTGTGATATTTGTGGTTCTCAGTGGTAAGTATGAAGATGGTTGTCTTCTGGGTTGTTGAGACATGTAGTCTGGTACATTGCCCTACAGATGCAGGCAGCAAGCACCTCTGAAATGTAGATAAACTTCCACCAGACTACACAGCAGAATAACACAGAAGACAGCCATCTTCATAAAGAAGTTTGTACAATATATTTTGCACTATTTACCGTATTTACATGAATAATCACTGTATTGTTACGTCAATTTTTAATTCTGACAATTGTGATGTGATGATATAAATGTCCAATGTATGTGATATAGCTGCCTTTTATTGAAGTCTTTTTTCTCATATAGCGAAAGTAGTTTTGCTCCAACCGACAGCAGAATGATGACTAAAAATGTTCTTGATGTAATTACACAATTTCAAATGGGACAGTCAATGAATATTGATACATTAAATTCCATACTGGAATTTTTAAGGTACTGAACAATTTTAAAAACACTGAGAAACACATTGGTTGTAAAACTATACCAGGCTACATCATTAAAGACTGCTATGAATTTTTTGCACATCCCAACCGCCTCAACCTTGCAAGTAATGCAGTTTTAACATTTTTCTGTTCCTCCCCTGAAAAAGGTTGAAAGTTTCCACCTATCAGT